TGTGACATCGCAACTTTGAATATTTGCTGCACAAGTGACCAGGAAGCAAGGACTGCTTTTACTGTATTTGTGGATTCACCTTTCATTCAAATATATGCCCTCTTGTAAAAATGGGGAAGGTAGCTCATCTAGAAAGCTAAGGCAACAATCAACATACCTAATGAATGTCTCTAGAATCTGTTTAATTCATGTTCCCCAGGAACATGTCCATCTAGTTCAGGGGTAGTCAACCTTGGCTCTTTTATGACTCGTGGACTTCAACTGGCTCTGGAATTCTGGGAGTTGAAGTCCACGAGTCATAAAAGAGTCAAGGTTGACTACCCCTGATTCTAGTTTGTAAAAGTCCTTTCCTTTCCTTTCCTTGTGGCTGCAAACTGTGCATGTGAAAATTAACTCCAATATCATAACCTAAAGCTATGCATTCACAACACAATGTTCCTAGAAGTGTTAACAGGACCTCACTGCTTTTATCAGAATGACGAAACAGTATCACTGGACTGTTCCCCAGGTTTTGCCCTGCAGTTGTATGCAACGTTGCCAAACAGAAAAGGGCAGGGCTGGTCTGGCAATGCTGCTTTAGCTAGGCTGCCCTTTGACCCCTTGCCTCTGCTGCAGATGCTGCTGGGTGTCCTATCCAAGGATGGCAAGAACCGACAAGCCAAAGGTGCAAAGCTAAGGAAATCAAGCAGGGTTAATGTCTGGATAGGAGCCTATCAGAGAATCCACTATAAGAGTTAGGCAAGAACGCTTTTCTCAAGAAGGCAATAAGAAGCCACTTGCATATTGTGCCAAGAAAACTGCATGAACATGTCTATGAAGTCATCACTGTCAATCTTCAGACCCCTTTTTATTTTAGCAATTAAAAAAGTCAAGCAGGAGTAGCCAAATACTACAATAGGCCAAATATACTTACAATAAACTAGAATTTTTTACAGAATCCTTATGCAAATATATTGACATATCGGGAAAATAAATACATTGGGTAAGTAGCAGAACGACAACCTCTAAAGCGTTCAATGGTTTTTTTAAAAAAACCATTATTTAAGTCACAGTAAAGCTCATTCTTTCATATGTGAGTAGCAATTTTTTTAGACCTGTATGCACAAACAAGGAAGTAGGATAATATTTAGACAATTACCTGAATTGTGTCAATTTAAATTAACTTCAGGGGTTATACTGAATTTGTCATCTCTTTAAAGAAGATAAACTTCTAGCAGAAAATGACATATAATTATAGCACTTCCTAACTAGACTGCTACTTACCAAGAATAAAAATAAATTGTAAATATAGCTTCATAGCATTAATCTTAAAATGCATCATGCATTCTTGAATCAACCCATAAATACAATTTCAAAAATCTAAAATAAAAAAAGATCTAAAAATAATATATCTAATAAAATACTACGTGGACAATGAATTCTGCTTTGAAATAGCAGATCTGGCTATCCTGATTCATATACTAGTCACAAATGTGCTAGAATTACGTTATCTAATGCATTTCTAAAATACAGCATCAAATTCCATTATGGATGAATGGTAACACTGCTGAGTTTATTTGAATTCAAATGCTATACAGTAGTCTAAATTTCTGAAATTTGGTATATTGAATATTTTATTCAAGTCAATTATAGGAAGCAACAAACATGAAAAACATCAGAATTTTCAGTGAGATAAAAAAGCTCACCTACTAATTAAACCTCATTACAAAATATTCTACATGTTTTTCTGTTCACACACACCTGTTTCTAGGATTGCAATGACGTAAAAGAATCAAACATCTCCCAACAAACAACTTTTTAGATCACTTAATAAAAACCCGTACTCTACAACTGACCAGTTATTGTAATTTTTTATTAATTAATCTTTAAACAGTAACTGCTAAAAACATAATGTCATATCCTTTTTCTATTAGTCTAGGTAGGAAAGCAAGCAGTATCCCGCAACCTGATAGCAAAACTGAAACCATGATTTTGATCTTGCTATACTGGAATCCAAAGAAATAGTCCCATTGTTTGATACCATTTTCTTTTGTGCTTAAAAACTTTTGATCTATAGTTGCATAGCTGCTTGGAACTCTGACATCCATCCTTCTTCTAACAACATCAAGTATCCAAGCACCCTTGTATGATCCAGTGGATGGAGTCCTTAATATTCCAGATTTTTCATGATGCTGGCAAAATCCCAGTAACTGGGAAATGTAATTACAAAGTTATATAAAATAAGGTTTGCTGAAGGTCAGTAAAGTGTTGCATTTCATTCCATTTTAATCCACTCACTGTAATTTGTTTGGAACAAACACAGAATCCGAACCAACTGTTCACTACACACACTGATTTTCAAGGAGGAAATGTCTTTATGAGAAGTTCTCAACATTTTCTAGAAATACTAAGTGTCTAACAGATTGGACTTCCTAAACAATAACAAGAGTGGTGCTTTGCTAGATCTATTTTTACCCCTTGCCATTTCTATTTGTAGCTAAATGTACAATAGAACATTAACTTCTAATACACAAATCAACCAAAATATACTAAATGCATCCCACTTCACTCAAAACATTATAATTTATTGTAAAAATTATGATATCTTCACAAATCAACAACTGCTTAAATTTAGCATTAATACAGTTAATAATGTTACACTTTTATAAGCTAGGAAGAAAGATTAATATTTATAACAGTCTTTCACACATTTAACAGCTATACTTTCTTCAGGAAGAAATTCACACGAGTGAATTGTTTTCCTGAACAGAAGCTTTACATCCTTAGCTAAGAAGTTAATCCCTGCATATCGTCCAGCATGTTCCCAGTTCTACATGGTTTTTAAGGTTAAGCCTCCTTAAAATCAAGCTCAACTACTAGTGACTTCATAGATCTGCAGTTTTCTTGGCAGTGATACAGAAGCAATTTGTCACTGTCTTCTTCTGGGTAGTTTTTTTTTTCATCTTCTCGGCACAGCCTATTGAGTAGTACCTATAGTATCCTCTGAAGATCTCCTACTGAAATATTAGCCAGGACTGACTTGGCTTAGGTGCTCATACCAAACAAGGTTAGCCAACTGCTACCATCTGCTCCACTCAATAAACATCTTATAGATGTGTAATTTTCTACAGCATTGCCTTAAAAAAGCTATCACACCCTCTTCAGTGAGGGAGGGAGGAGAGAAACAGGGGTGGTGGTGGAAGAGAGAAACCTAAAGGGATACGAGTCAAGGCTGAGTTTTTAATGGCTTGAACGAAAACCACATTTTACTGCCACACAAGTAGCGTTTCTAATTTAAAAGAATGGACTTTTGGTTGATTTATAAATAGATTAATCAGAAAAAAAGAATCCATTTTAGAATAATCATAAGAAACAAATTGGTTGTTTTAGTTACTCCACAAAGAGAACAGCTGATCTTCAGGACCTACAAAAGATCTGATTTTTTTCCCCCACTATGACTGGGATTCTATTTAAGTAATATACAAAGAAAATCTTATGCAGAAACTCATGCTCACCATACATAAGGAAAAAGAGGTCACTGGAAGCAAAACAAGTTTGAAGTTGTTGTTTTTTTTAAAACCCTGCAGATATGAAGAAAGGAACGGACCTTTCTTTGCTCAGCTCAGTATTCTAAAGACCAGGATTTAATTTGACTCTCAATTTGCTGGGTCCCGACTTCTAGCAAGCAGAAAGCAGTGGGGTATGGATTTGCTCTTCTCTTTAGAGACAGAGAAGGCTATCCTTTTACAATCTCCCATGCAATTAATAAAATAGCATTTAGTTTATGAACACAAACATTTTAATCAGCCAAAAACATGACATAATGTAAGACTACATATAGAGAATTATCACTTGCCCCAAAGTACTGAATGTTACTTTTAAATCAAGAAATCGTATACTGCTCGTGACAAGTATACACACTATAGCAAATAAACTATTTCAATCACTATAGAAGGAATCTGTGCATGAAACATATGGTGGCAGAAGTAAAGTATTCCTGCAAAAAGGCAATTTGAAAAACTGACAAATTGGAGAACAACACTTGTATGTGTTGAAATAAGGTAGTATGCCCTAAGTATCTTGCTTTTTTATGTACTTTAAACAGGAGACAGGAAAAGATTAAACATCAATCAATGTTTCTTAATTCTCAAGAAAAATCTAATCTACGTCTTGTGGAAATATCTTAGTTCAAGATGTCGCAAGGTATCTTTTTTTTTTTTAAAGGAAGAGTAAAATCCATACATACGTGAATGTGGAATATAATGCATTTTCTTTACTGTACTGTAGTAGGTAAACTCTGCCAGTATCACTTGCGAGAATTTAAAAATGGACCAGGAATTATTTGAAAATTCTGCTTCAAAACTAGCAGTTAAAGGATGTAGCCAGAAGTATAAGCTCAACTTATTACAGCTTTTTATCACCAAGAATGAAAGAACTGGAAACAGAGAAGAGATCCCCAGATCTTTGGGATTATATCTGACTATTCAAGTTTTGAGCTTCCTTAAATCTCCCCTATCTCCAAAAGTTCAAATTTTCACCCCAACTGAATATTGTTAAAGAACCACTAAAAGCCTCTACTTACTTAAACTCTGGTTTCAGTAACTTGAACCTGGTCAAATAAATCTAAGCACCCTAAATCTAATGGCTAATGTCCCTGAATCAACTCCAGGATTGTTTATTTAGGGGGTGTTTAAGATGATGATGATGATAATGACAATGATTTGTTTTCATATTCCACCTTTCATTCAGAAGATGACAGCAGCATATATAATACTCCCATTTACCCCATAACTCTGTAGCCAGATTGGGCTGAGAGAAGAGTGGCCCAAATTTATCCAATGAGATTTTATAGTTGAGGATAGACTAGAATCAAGTCTCCACCCACCCAATTCAACACTTTAACTACTACACCAAACTAGTAATGAGAACTGAAACGAACAATGATCTATCTAGAAATAAATACCACTTACTAATATTTAATACAACTACTATACATTAAGTAGGGAATGGTAATGTGTTACCTCAACAATATCTGAGTTAGTTCTGCTCTCATGGGGTTCGTTGTATTCTGTGTATTTGAGAAGAACTTTGTCCATATCAGTGCTGGCATATTGAAAGAGCTTATTAGAACTGTTGAAAATTATGAGTGCTATTTCACAGTCACAAAGCACGCTTAGTTCATAGGCTTTCTTCATTAATCCAAACTTTCTTTTTGTGAAGGTCACCTAAAAACAAAAGGGGAGAAGAAATATTTCAGCAGGATGTATTTAATGGCAAAAGTCTGAATGTGTTCCAGAACAGCTGGACCCACCAGACCTTTGAGGTTACTTTTTTATGTTAACAGAGCTTTTTTACAGGATATCACAAATTGCATTTTGAAGTCGATAGATAGATAGATAGATAGATAGATAGATAGATAGATAGATAGATAGATAGATAGACAGACAGACAGACAGAAGGCATCAGAATTTCATTTTTTAATGTGTGCCAGTAGGTTCACAGAAAAAAGTGACAATAAAGATTACTTTATATTATATTTTCCCAGATAGTTTATTCTGTGTATCTATTACTTTATCAACAGAAAAACTGATTCAAGTAGAAACAGAAATAATTGAATACACATAGACATGAAGTCAACCATGAACTTGGGATGTTCTTCCACAAAAATAGACAATAAAATGGACATTATTGGACAAAATGTCTTTCAGAAATTGTGGGTGCTCCATCACTAGAGATTTTTAAAAAGAGGTCGGATTCAGATTGTTTTGAAATGGTATAGGGTCTCCTGCTTGAGCAGCAGATTGGACTAGAAAACCTCCAACATCCCTTACAACTTGTTATTCTGTTTTATTACAGCTCCAACCATCAGAAAAGAAAGGTATCAATCTGGACAAAGGTTAATCTGGGTGGCTTACTAAAAATCATCATTGCTGAAGGTCCATCATGATGAATAATGAAAGACTTGCAGTGGACTAGATGGCAGAATCATTCTGAGCTGCAAAAAACATAATTCTCAGCATAATCCAATGTTAATTTGTGCTGCCCTCTGGAAGCAATACTAATCACATAATTTGAAGCACATTCTTTAAATGGGAAGGATCTTCTTGACCTCTGCAAATATTTTTCATTTCCTCCGGTATTTTCGGCTGTGTTTCCCATGCCAAGAAGCTTGTATGTTTGGGGGGTAACATATAATCAGATAAACATATTAAACTGAAACGATTTATTACTTATAAGAAACACTGAAGAGTTGTATGCATGAACAGCACAGAAAGACCATTACCTACAATTTAATGTTATTCAAAGGCTAGAAAGAAAGCATCTGAGTTTCTATGTCCTCCATCTCACTAAGGATAGTCCAGCAAATTAAAACACATAAATAATGGGACAATGAGTCACAAACTAGATCTGCAAAATCAGTTTGAACTGGGAATATCACACTTGGCTTAAAGCAATGACTTCAACAGATTTTAGGTTATCATATGTAAAAACAATTGGCTGTGTAACTCCAAGGCTATATAACACAGTGTATTTGAGAAGAAAAACCACAGCCGTTCCTTTTTACTCATTGTCATATTTGATTTTTTTTAAAAAAAACAAAAAACAAAACAGGAATATGGACTTTAAAGCAGCTGCTCCATCTATTGTTGTTTTTGGAAGGATGCCCATTACCTAACAATGTGACAGATCACTTTAATGAATACAGGTAGTCCTCGACTTACAACAGTTCATTTAGTGACCATTCAAAGTTACAAAAGCACTGAAAAATGTGACTTATGACCGTTTTTCACACTGACAACCGTTGCAGCATGCCGGCGATCATGTGATCAAAATTCAGATGCTCGGCAACGGGGTCCATGTCCCACGGTCACGTGATCACCTTTTGCAACCTTCTAACAAGCAAAGTCAACAGGGAAGTCAGATTCACTTAACAACTGGGTTACTAAACATTTGCAGTGATTTACTTAAGTGTGGCAAGAAGGGTTACAAAATGGGGCAAAACTCACTGCACTCTCTCATTTAGCCACCGAAATGTTGGGCTCAAGTTGAGGAGTAACCATTATTAAATGCCACTATAGTGTAAAAGCAGGTATATGGGACTGCTCTCGGGACAGATAAAGCTTGGCAGTTCCCGTAGGACTACAGAATGTTTAATGCAAGAATATGAGTTTAATAATTATAAAGTAGTTCTTCATGTAAAGCCATCCATTTGCTCATTCTTACTTCCTTCTGGGATACTGGCCAAACATGTGTAATAAGTGGGATCAAGAGTCAAATAAAGCACACAGATATACACATCTCTGGCAGTTGCCCAAAAAGTGAGTTCACACAGCTCTGTCAGGAAAACATTCCGAGAGGAGATTATTTTGCTGCAAATTGCACCAGATAGGAAGTCTAGTCTACCAAATACTTTACCTACTAAACACTAGTTTAAGGACATAGTTAAAACATTTGTCTCAATGTCCTACTGGTGAATTTAAGATCAGAGAAATGAACTCCAAAATGGATGGATGGATTATCCGTCAGACAGAATTTCTGCCAGCAGGCTGTAGGGTTGTTTAGTATCTTATTTAAGTTCTCAATTATGGGTTTTCTTTTGAGTCCTCAGTCAAAATCCCATCTCCAACTATTTGACTTTTAAACTAAAAAGGCAGTAGCCATTTTGGCACAATTGTGTATAGGTTGTTTGCTTGTTCCCAATCAACCATCTTCTGATAAAAGCTGCCTTCCTTAAGTTGCTTTTTACCTACAAAGGAAAAGATACTGGAATCCTTGTAATTTCCCAATGTAAGTAGGAAAGGGCTAGGACGAGAAATTAGCCTTTGCAAAATTGAGCAAGTCTCCAAACAAAAGGATTTTAAGCATCTCAAATTGCTGCTTTTCAGGGGCATTTATTGCTCATGCATCTCCCACATAAATCGAAGTCTAAACATACTCCATACTGTTCACTGTGTATCTACTTTGTTCCTTGTTTCTCAGAAACATTACAAAAATGTCACCAAGAGTTTTACTGTCCAACTATTCTTCAGAGATGTAGAACTATATTTTTTATACTGTATAGACCTTCCAAGTAGCTCAGGTAATTGTACACAGCAGAGCTTCTGCTTCCAGTTTACGTTCCCCCAAAGCCACACTGATGCAATTGTATTGTTTGTGTCATAACTGATTGGTTATTTACTTAACTGTAGCCAGATACAGAAGTAACTCCTTGAAATGCTACAAAATGACAAGAAAGTAAACTCCATTATTCCTTTGTGTTTTAGCAGACTGAAACTTATCAAATGACACATAATTGCAAAACTCTCCAGGAGATCCTTTATGCTTCATTTTTTTCCCTAACAAACACACTAAAAATATAGCTTTCCGCAGTCACTCATATCTGCTCCAGTTAAAAATGGAACTGAAAAACCTCTTAGAAATAACATTAAGGTAAACACAGTCTATGAGCTGCTATATATCATGGAAACACATGCAAATACCTAGAGAGCTTTAAGGGTAAAAAGATAGAAATAATGATAAAATGTGATTACTGGCAATCTTTTATTAGTAATTGTAAGATAAAGCAAGACTCATTGTTCTAGTAACAGGGTTAGGATTAGAAGACGAAGAGGACAGGAAAGGGAGTAACAATAAACAAAACTGGGATAATTTGCAAGGATGGCCAAGAAGTAGTTTTTGTGAAAACAGTAAGTCAAAGCATTCTGTTCATGATATCCAGTGATTAATCTAAGACATGTCCCTGCACATCACATTGGACTAATCTATAAATTTAGATCACCAAACTTTCCAATGTAATTGTAAGCATGGTCAGTGCAAGCTCTGTTGCAATGAAAACAGATGAAATCTATAGTGGGGGCGGGGGGGGCAAAGGTTTTAAAAACAGATTAGAACACCTTTAGAAATGTTACAGTACCTGTTTTTGAATATTATGAGGCTAATAAAACCTTTTTGGTCCATTATGGAAATTGATCGTGTTCTCTAATTGTCACCTTCATAAAAGTGATCATTCAGTTTTCAATCCTTGGAAATTCCTACTGGATCTAAAGTCTATCTCTAGAGAGCTGAAATGCCAAGTGTATTAAAATTAATTAAAAGACTTTATTAGGAGGTCTACAAACCTAAGTAAACGTTACATTAATCTCTCCTAATTATAGGGGCAATGCATCTTTCTCTCAATACTGCTCTACATACTGAGGGGTGTAGAAATTGTACACATACTTAGAAAATGCATTTATTCAATTTAGGGACTGTGATTTGCACAAGCCTTTGAAGGAATACTATTCAATGCCTAGATTAATACATGAAACATGACATTTTAATAAAGGAAAGTATATAATCTGATCAATCTCACTGAAATTTGATGGTTTGATACTGAGGACTGGAAACATTTCAGTTGAAATACCCATCTTATTTAAAAGGAAAATACCCAGCAGAAAAAACTGGCCTTGGAAACGGCAGGAAAAAGGAGCCCCCTGACTCCGCGATTCTGCAGTGTCTGTTGAGGCCCCGCTTCTTGCACTTGCTCTCCTTAGACTGATTCAGCCGAATGCGGCTCCGCGGGAAAATCCCACCCCCACCCCCCCCCCGGAGGTTTGAAGAGCCTCGGGCTGCAGTGCTGCAGGATCTAGTACAATGGTTCTCAACCTTTTTAATGCTGCGACCCCCCAACCGGTCATAAGTCGAGGACTACTCAACCGGTCGTAAGTCGAGGACTACTCAACTGGTGCAGCACCGTTTGCAGAATGGGACTTTTGGCGGGCTCAGCAGGGCAGAGACAGCCTGGACAATTCCTATTGGCTTTTGAAAGCCAATAGAATTAGACTCTATTCAAGAGAGTCTATTCTATTGGCTTTCAAAAGCCAATAGAATAAAAGGGAGTAGCACAGCTAAGGAAAAGGGGGAAAAAATGGCGGACTGCGTTGTTTGGCAACCCCCGTGAAATGGTCGTTCGACCCCAAATGGGGTCGCGACCCACAGGTTGAGAACCACTGCTCTAGATAAAGTGAATGAAAGTAGAACGGAAGGCTCTGTTCTCTTTACGGACCCAAAAGAAAGGAATTTTTAACCTCGGCTTGCAGCGCTGATCCCAGCGCTGCAGAATCTAAATGCGACTGGGTGGAGAGAGAACGGAAGCCTCCGTTCTCCTTAGGAGTTTAAAAGAGAAAAAAAAAATTTCTCTCTTCTACCAGTCATTCAAAACAGCGCCGATCCCAGCACTGCTGAGAATGAACATGGATCTTTTAGGAGAATTCACCAATGGTAAGCTCTATCCTACCTCTTTCTGGGAGCCAAGCTTGCCACGTTTTGTAGGGCTGGAGACCAGGTCGAGACTGGGGGTGTCCTAGCCCAGGACAGGCGTGGCAAGTTTGGCTGACCTGGTCTGAATGGGCAGGAAGACAGAGCTAACCCCTGTGCTGGAGAACTATGATTGAATGTCTGCTTCAAGTAATTGACAAACTTTTATATAAAAATCTATTATTGAGTAAAATTATGTTACATAAATAATATGTAGCCTTTTTAAGCAGATTCCATTCCAATGCAATGGAAATATTATAAATCCACTGAGTATTCTGTATCATACAGGGGAAAAAAAATGAAGTCTTAAATCCGAATACATTAAAGATGGGGTTCTCAAACTTTTGCAATACTTTGAACCTAAAAAAATGATGATGAATTTGTGCAATCCTCACAAATAAAGCTAATAATTACATTAGGCTTAGGATAATAATAAATATATCACCAAATAAAAATATTTCCATCATACTTTCTTCTGTAGCTCGTCCGTAGCGGCTACCAGGATAAAGTTGTGGGGGGGGGGAATATTAGCTTGGAATAGTAGTCCTTTTCCAACTTTTACAAAAGTGAATGCAAGATAAATATTTTTCCAAAGAAGCATCCTCTCACCTGTCTGTTCCGCTCATCCATTATTCTTGTGATTTGTATTTTCTTCCTCCCCATTTTGTCCTGTTTCTCTCTTTATATTCCAGAACCACGGAAATAAAAGGATCCACAAACTTTGTATCCTAGCACATGGTAGGCATTTCTCTTCCACAACTAAAGCCCAAACACAGAACCGTGCACTGGGTTGATTTAGAAATCTAAAATTAAGAAAAGAAAAATAGTTAAAAACATGTATTTCATATCAATAATGTTTCTACATTGGTTGCTGTGCATCTTCCTTCAACAATCAGGTGAACCTAGAAAAGGACATTCTGCTTTAATGAGTTGCATTATCAAAGCCAGGTCAAGGCTGTACTAATCTCCCAATGCTTTATGTAAAAAAAATCAACAGCTCCTTTTTAAACACCCTGAGCCAATTTTAACAAGTATATTGTAATGCAAAATGTATTCATTATTTATTGTGAGATATTTATATAAAGAGAAATTTCTTTAATTTCTATATTTTACACGAAATCAAAATATGTAGCTTTTCTTTTTCACTGTCAACAGGATAAAATTCCTTCCAGTATTGGAAAGAAACATCATTCCAATAACTTCCCACCAAAAAAGTCAAACCGACGCCTAACATTTCTGGGCCTTGTTCCATTTTCAAAAATTTTCTATGCCTTCTTCTCTTAATAATGCTGTAGGCTCACATATAAGATACTATTCAAGAACTAACAACTTTTGAATGCTGTTTAAAAATAAATCCATTTGAGACTTTTTATGCAGCACTTCATTTTCCCAAAAGGCTATTTCACAGGAACATACGGATTGACAAATAGCTGAGAAATTCAAGGTTATATTCATTACTGTAAAACTTGTAAGTTTTCACACATCACTAACAAGCCAATTACCAATCTGAACATTTCTTTGCTGCTTGCACATTTTTCCAACTGTAACACTACGTCATTGGCCATAGAAATGGAACTAACCTGTAAATTTATTAAAAGACAACCTATACCTAAAAAAAGTACTGTGCTACTGATTTCTAAGGTTTTTACACAAAGGATTGCAATACATCATGATGAAGCAACAAACAGGAACCCAGTTTCAAATTAGCCATTCATAATGAAAAAAAAAGTATTTTTTATAGACAGTGGGCATGTTGAACAGCAGAATAAAGACACTGTTATCTAGCAAACTAATGTTTATTAAGAAAGCATAAAATAGAGAAAATGGGAAACAAATCTCCTTCACACCAAGAATGAGAGAGCAAGTAGTCCTTTAATTACTAAAGAGCTTCACCTTCCATAGCTATTGGCTATGAGGGTTAAAGTGACAGGAGGTAACTTCAACAGCACTTCAAGAATCTAGGTTTCCCATTCCTTTGAAAACTATAGAATCAAGGCACATAGCACAGTACACAGCAGCTGTGACAACCATGGCGAAGAATAAGCAAGCACCGATCACAAAATATTGTCCAAATTGGGCATTATCTTCAAAAGCATGGATTAGAATAAGAACCTGGAATAATCTGAACATATCCCACCTTCCTATTGGCTGCAACATTCTTTGGTCCTACAGAAAGTTAGTAATTTGCAAACAGTTCATAAAGAATGAGGAAACTCTTTCATATGATGGCTTGTTCTTCTGAAGTCAGTCTGGAAATGCCTCTATCTTTACAATTATATTATATGCTTTGACTTGGATAGAAGGTAAGCATCAATGGCAATCTGGAAAACTTATTTGTGTCCCTGTGTTCATGATCCAATCAGCATTTCTTAGATTTGCTGAAACTTGACTACACCAATGGGCTTTTATTTTTCTTCTTACAGGAAGTTGGAGGCCTACTGAAATGTGAGCGGGTTTGTATTTCCAATTTAATAATTAGGAAAGTACACCAGGAGTGAAAAATTGAAAATTGCTTGTTTCTGAAGCATGGCATGCCCCTGGAATGATCCACTGAGAATTTATTCTACGGTTGAATTAAAACTATGTTTTAAAGCAGGAACTGGTCAATTTTACACAATTTATCAACGTGTTTCCAATTTGCCAAGACACGTGGAAACAATTCTACAGTACAGACTTGACAATGGCAGAACTTCCAAACAATAATCACCCTAAAAATGCAACACGCAAGTCTTACTGGCATAGTTTGAAGAGAGAGAAAAAATGTGAGTTGTATTTCTTCCAGGCAATTTGATTCCCTGATAAATAGCTACTTGTTCTCTGCCAAGAATATTTCAGTGTTTCAATGCTGATTGCTAAGTTCTAAAGGACTGGGAACAACACCAACTCTTGAAAAGGAGTAACTGCACATATTACATAGAGCAGACATCTGACTGCATATGCATCTTGCAGTAACTGCTGTCCTCTGGCAAAAACCATTTTGGGATATTTTACAAGCAGCTTTAATCTACAGTTGATGTCACAGAATAAAGACGGAATGAATGCCTTCTGCTCTGACTGTTGAAATATCTGAAAACATATAAAGCACTTTATCGTTTTCTTCTTAAACAGCTGATTTAAAAGGCTTTGCACCTGGTTAATACATGGACAGACCTATCAATCTTTCTTTCAAAGATTTTTTTTTTTAATTTCCCACTTTAACCCAGAGTCCTGCAGTGTCCTGGTCGCCATCCATTCCAGTACTAACCACTTGTTCACCTTTTCAAGGATAGCTCAGTTTAGAGAGCTGCTGTTGTCTGCAGTGCAAATATTTATTCAATCAAAATCAGCAACTAAAATTTCCTTTAAAGGCCTCACTGACATCAAGCAGAAATATTCAAGGGAACAGAAAACACAGAATAGAGTCATAAGGGATCTTGGAGGTCTTCAAACCCCTGCTCAAGCAGGCGACATAGGTGGGTGTCCAATCTCTTCTTGAAAACACAGTGAGGGAGCACCCACAATCTCTGGAGGCAAGCCGTTCCACTAATTATTCTTACTGTCAGGAAATTACAGATTTACAAGAAGCTATAGCAGAAGCTATGAACTCACTCACTTAGAAAGATATAACTGTGATTCAGGAAGCAAAACCCTAGGTGGCAAGGTGTAGGGTTCAAGGTAATCTTTCCTGGAAATGCTTTTTTCTTGCACATATTTATTTACACCTCTATAAGAGTTTCTTATCAGCTTATCTCAAGGAGGATATTGCTGAACTGGAAAAGGTGGTAACCAGAACAAAAGTTGCGATAAAAGTTCATAGTATTTAGAGCTTTTGAAAAATAAATTCAAGAGAGATATGTAAGAGTTGTATAACATTATGTAGGATACATTGAAAAGGCATAGTTTTCCCTTCTGCTGTAATTTTAGAATAATGGGAGTTTCAGAATAAAAGTAAATTCTTCATGGAGCTTAGAATACAATACATGAAGTTCACTGTCATATGATGCATATTATGTAATGGCTACCAACTTGCATAGTTTTAGAAGAGCAGAGGCACAGCCACAATTTAAGTGCTCCTACCAAAAATTGCTTTTAAGTCTAAAAATAGGAGCTCCAACCATATCTCCTTCCTTCTAATCTTATCTAAATGATTAGGCGCAGGGCAGGGAAAGAGATATAAAACAGACATCAGTTTTAGAATACTACAGTGAAGAGGTGTCAAATTATCAAGAATGCAGTTTCAGGCTGCGCAGTTTGTACACATACATACTATATAATATTAAAGTTTGTGTGTTTATTTATGCTTTCTAATCAGTCTTGCCTCCTGGTGATTGCCTGGACAAGTTTCCCTGGCAAGATTTCACAAGTTATTTGCCACTATCTTCTGATCGCAACTAGTTTGAGATAATACTGTATGCAACAGCAGTGGGCCCATAAAAAGCGCCTATACACCTAAACAAAAGAGCAAATGAAAGTCTACAAGAAATCAAGGTGAGGGAGTGAAAACAAAGAGTCTACAGTTCCTTCCTCAAATGCACCACCCTTGAAAAAAATGCACCCCAAGTTATCCCATTTTTAGATGGGAAGTCCATTCATAACCTAACACAGCTCTGTGTTACCTAATAAGTAGATTGGGCCATACAAGCAGGATTTTACCAAGTGTGCTATTCTATGTCCCACGTTATTTTATTAATGAAAAAAAGCCATTTCTTCTGAAATGGCCTGTATCTTCTACTTCTCCCTTTTAATTTTGAAATGCTAATCTAGCGTTATGTATAGGTGGATGTCTCCAGGGGCAGTGTGCATTATATCCCCAAATTCTTTAAGCAGTAATATTTCTGACCAAATATTGTAGCTTAATGGATGGCATGAACATATCAGAACACCAAGAAAAAATATTTTATCTTTATAATTCAACTGTTAGTCTGTATACTTATTTAACATGTCATGATGAGCTTTAGAAAAAAGGCCTGGTGATGCATGGTACACTTAAGTACACATATTTTATATCTCTACCATTGCGACCCTTGCTTTACCGTGTTATCTTATTTTTTTAACATGATTAATATCATAAAGCTGAACTTTCAATGTTTGCATAGTAAGTTGTCTTAAGATTTCACTGACAATTTCAAGTGCACAAACACAACATAATAAACTAAGGCTGCAATTTTCATCGTGATAAAATATTTTAAACTACGCAACTAACTTCAGTGACATATACATGCAAGTAAACCTAATTTAGTTTGGCATGCAAAAAGATTTTTTGACTAAGCAAAATCATAAGGACAACCCAAGGAGGCTGAAGCTTACATTCAATTCAAACAATCACAGTTTGAAGCATTAACACTAATTTGGATATTTAATGGCTGCTTCTTTAAATGTAAAACCAATATCTGAGCTGTCAGTTATGTCTTTCTGACATACAACATAAAGAAGGAACAGAGCAAGAAAATGTGTCCTAGGAAAAAGCTGTAGTTAAAGTTATTTGTCATAGTATATATTTTGGGCCATATGGTGTTTTTTTAAATATTGACTTTTGGAATCACACTTTCAGCTTAGAGTCCCCAGTACACTATATACTGCATTCAATAAGATGCAATCTATCAAACAATCATATATACGGTAATAAATACCGTCATTCCAGTCACTGTTGACTTCTTTTAACTGCTTGACCTAATCCCTAAAGTTTCCATGGCACAGTTTTGCATGCCATTGCCTCCTTCCTTGGGCTGAAAGAGAATGTCTGGCCCAAGGCCACCCATCTGGCTTCATGTCCAGGGCAGAACAAAACTCAGTCACCTGATACCTTAATTGCTACACACATTAG